GTTTTGAAAAATATGCTGAAGTATTAGATGGTATCTCCTGCTTCCTTGGGCCACTGCTGTGCCAGTCTATTAAGCATTATTCTTTATACAGGTTCAATATTCTTAATCCCAAATTCCGAGATTCAAAATGCTCAAATATGAAACTTTGTGAGCATCAACATGGTGTTCAAAGGAAATGCTCATTAGAACACCACAATTTTAGATGATTGGATTAAGAAAGGTTACCCAGTAAGTATAATGCAAATATTCCAAAATTTGAAAAATTTAAAAATCCAAAATACTTTTGTCCCAAACATTTCAGATCAGTGCAGTCTGGGCGACAGAGTGAGACTCCGACTCAAAAAAAAGAAATTCTTTTAACCAAAAGCCCAGCTCAGAGAGGACATTGAGCAGTCTTGAACTTAGGATGTCAGCTTCTCACGTGAAACTTTCTTTTTCTAGGGTTTGGAAGAACAAGAATTGGGTAGACTGACTTGTCTGTCTGGCCTGTTACATAGTATTGTGGGACAGGTTGACACAGTGGTTAAAGTGTTCTCCCATTTATAATTCAAGGAGCATGTTTTTTAATGTCCCCAAAATGGAGTTGTTTTTTTTGTTGTTGTTGAGTTGGAGTCTCACTGTCACTCAGGTTGGAGGGTAGTGGCACGCTCCCAGCCACTGCAGCCTTGACCTGCTGGGTTCCGGCGATTCTTACTCCTCAGCCTTCCAAGCAGTTGGAACTACAGGCATGCGCTACCACGCCTGGCTAATTTTTTATTTATTGTAGAGACAAGGTCTCACCAAGTTCCCCAGGCAGGTCTTAAACCCGCAGGCTCAGGCAGTCCTCTCGCCTCGGCCTCCCAAAGTGCTGGGATTACAGGCTGAGCCACCGAACCCATCCCAAAATGGAGTTTTTGCTTTTATTTTTTGAGTCGGAGTCTCATTCTGTTGCCCAGGCTGGAGTGCAGTGGCATGCTCATGGCCACCGCAGCCTCAACCTGCGGGGCTCAGGCAATCCTTCCGCCTCAGCCTTCCAAGTAGCTGGAACTACAGGCATGCATCATCATGCCCAGCTAATTTTTGTGATTTATCGTGGAGACGAGGTCTTACCAAGTTGCCTAGGCTGGCCTCGAACCCCTGGGCTCAGGCAATCCTCTTGCCTTTGCTTCCCAAAGTGCTGGGATTACAGGCGTAAGCCACTGTGCCTGGCCTGGAGTTTTTAAAGAAATGAAGATTCTCAGAGTCTTTAGCACCTGCTCCTTCCTCTCTCTGATTTTCCCACTCTGTACTTCAGGTGCACAACTGGAATCCAGAGGAGGCTGTAAGAGCCATCACCAAGATCCGATCACACATCCACATCAGAACTGGCCAGCTGGATGTTCTTAAAGAGTTCCATAAGGAGATTACTGCAGGGCAACAAGGATGACACGCTAGAGACATGAAGTATGTGGATTAAAAAGAAAGACAACCCTGCTGATAGAGAATAAAAAAATTTAACAGAACCAAAGGGTCTTAAGCCCAGGCTTGACATAAGCGAAATATGCTTAGTAATAGATAATTTTGTTTCTTCTGTCTTGTTTCATTTTCCTGAAATAACACTGTTGTATGGCCAGAGAGGGAAAGATTTAGTGTGGCTTGTGTTCATGGGATACAGGATAGGGGTGGAGGTATCTTATTTTCTTGAATCGGGTCAAATAAATATTAATTTCAACAAAAACCCATCATGTATCTAATGTTGTGCCTAATGACATTTAGCACCGTTATTCAAAAACATTTAACATTAGAAAACAGGAGAGATCTTTAGCTCTGGCCCTTTGCCACTCAGAATCCCAATTTCACTGGCCTTGTGGGGTACCCCCATACATTTGGAGCAGTGATCCCGTATGTAGAAATGGAAACATGGGTGTAGTCAGGACTGCTGCTGACTTTGAATTGTGTGGGGGTATAATTAGTTCCCCTTAGGAAGTTATCCCTCCAGAATTTAATACAGACACATACACATCCCTTCAAAAACTTTTATTTCTATGAATAGTTCTTAGCTTTTGACTTAGCTTGGAGTTTCTAAAAGAGCAGAGACTTTATATATTAGAGTTTGAAAAAAGCTTCTGCTATTAATCAGAAATAACCCTTTTTACTTTCTGGCTTACACCTTGGAATAAGCCAAAAATAAAACCAAAGTTACATGTCGTCAGATAGATGAGAAAACAGTAGAAGGAACGTCTTGAATTCTAGAGTTGACTTTTGCTGGTGAAGTACCCTTCAGCTTAGTACATTCTCTCAACCAAAGCCTGAAGGAAAACTCTAACACCTAATTCTCTGTGGAAAAATTATCAACTAGCCCCTTTGAAGGCAATAGAAAAAAAAGTACAACTGGGCATCTTTCTGTCTTCCCTGGGATCAGGGATGCTTCTGTTTGACACTGATCAGTCAAGAGGAGAGGCTGTGCCTAGGGTCTGGTCTAAGCAATCTGCAGTGAGGCACAGGATTACCAGGGGATGGCAGCGAACGGGCTGGCCTGCTCTCAGCGGAAGCAGCCAGCTGAGCAGCAGCAGTCTAAAAAGCCCCAGAAAACCTGCAGGTTCCGGGAAGGGCTGAGGTGTGCTGCCTTTCTAACACGAACCAAAAAGTAACGCATCACTCTGAATTGGGGCCCAGGGAACTCCAAGTTTGGATGGGGAGGGCACAGGAGTCAGCTGTTCTTCCCTACCCTCCCCCCAGCCTTAGGCCAACACAAACTGCAAACTGGTAAGCAGCAGCTTAATGCCTCTTGTGACAGTGACAGCTGAAGTGGCAGGGTCAAGCTTGTAGGTGTTGGCATCCCCCTTTTTATATCGGTCTCGGAAGACATAGATGCTCCCGTTGCAGCTGGCAATCTTCCAGAGGGATGGGGCAGAGCTCCAGGCCTCGGGAAGGCAAAGCCGGGTGAAGCTGTCTAGCAGGGGATTGTAGCACACCAGGGAGTCCCCTTCAGCCACGATGAACACCAGATCCTTATGCACAGCTGCATGCATGTGGCCTGCAAAGGGCAGCACATAGGGCTTCACATGGCATTTGTCTGTCTCTGTGTCAAAGCACTGGATGAGTCTGGAAGGTTTGGTAAAGAAATCCAAGTCATTTTCCTCCCCGCCTAGTAAGTAGATAATCCCATTGAGGTTGGCACCAGCGGCCCCTGACACAGCCACCTCGAGTTGGGTTGTCTCTGTCCACACATTATCACCTACCCGGTAATAGATGACTGCATTGGAAAGGGTATCTTGCAGTGTCTTGCCACCCAGTGAATATATGGCGTCTTTCCCAGGCACAGACACCAGGGTGTGCTGGAGCCGATCCCGTGGCAAAGGAGCACACCACTCCCAGTCAACGGTGGCATTGTTGCACTTCCACATGCGCCGTGGAATGGACCCTCCCACCACATACAAGTCTCCACCATGCTTGCAGGCTGCGGTGATCTGGTGGCACAGGCTGTTTTGGCCACTTACGCTGATGGAATCATCTTCTGCACAGTGCAAGGACACGGCCAAGGAGTGGGTACGAGATGATTCTTTCCCAATCAGGTAGATGTGCACATTTTCCCCAATTTCCTATTGGCAAAATTAAAATGATAAGTGACAGCTGTCAGTTAGTCCTAGGCTAAGGCTCTGCTGGGAAACAAATCCTTAAGGCCCTCACACTTGCATCTTCCTCTAACATACTCCCTCCTCTAGTTACTGTATGTCCTCCTGACTCTCCTCTAATCACTTTCTTTTAGGCATTTTGTACTGGGGCAGAGAATCTGTTGCAATCACCCTTGAAGCTTTTCAGAAACTATCATGAGCTGGTGCTTCAGACAAATGGTGCTTAGGATTATTAACTCAATGATGAGAGTGCTTCTCTCAAAGAACTCTGAGGCTCACAGATTGGTGGGTTTTGGGGTCACAGACACATCCTTCTCCCCAGCTCATATCAACTTCAAGCTGGAGTTATTCAGCAGCCACGAAAAAGAGGACAGGCCAACTGATGGCTGGAATGCATGGAGAATATGAAGTCCCAACTCCTAAGAAATCTGCCTTACCTTCAAGCTAGTCCTGAGTGATTGTGCAAAAGCCTCTCTTTCCTCTTTATTAAAATTGATCCAGGCTTCTATTGCCTCTGTTGGGTTCTGGGAACATGGAACTCCATCTGTGAGAGCCAGAGGAAAGGTGTGCATGGTCAGAGATAATTCAAAAGGGAAATTTAGAGTAAGGGATTTAAAGAGGTGAGCCATTTTATTAGACTACCACATGTGTACATATTTATATGCACGTGAACTTAACCTAAAATCGCCTTGTTTTAAAAATCAAAATGGATGACTCAATATGCTTGCATTTGCCATGAGAGCAACTACTTGGCTGTAGAGCTCACATCTAAAGTATCACATCTAAAATACCTCACTTGGAGGGTTAGGAGTGTTACCTAAAGATGGCCCACCACGAAAAAGCTTTTTATCTTAAACATCTTGATTCATCATCAATTCACATAGGTAATCAGACTGATAGTTACCATGCTGAGTGCAGGAGAGGTAAGACTATACAGCTCTCACTACTTTTTGTGGTTAAGTGCTGCTGCTTCTATTTTCCTGGCTTCTTCCTCTGTAAGGAGCTCTGTCTCTGACAGCAGTTACACCGAATCTCAACCCAACCTCTCAGATATCTATCTTAATACTAATGTAGGAATAATACTGGGGAGGCTGAGACAAGAGGCTTGCTTAAGCCCAGGAGAGAGTTCAGGGCTACAGTGAGCTGTGATCATACCACTGCACTTCAGTCCAGGTGACAGAGCAAGACCCCATCTCTAAAAGAAAAAAAAAAATAATAACGTAGGAGTAACAATATAAACTGATGCCAGAAAACTTGAGGGCTCCTTTCTCCTGAACCAGAACATCCACTGAATATCGTACCCAAGTAGCTGGGTATGTGTCCCCTCCCTAAACTTACCCGAGACGATATCAGTGAGTAGATGGTGGGGCAAGTCAAGAAATTCCTCTGTGCTCTGCAGCTGGGCTAGGTGGGTCTTGGCACAGTGTTTGGCAGCAGTGTAGAGCTCAGGGTCACTGTGCCGATCTGCCAGCCACATCACCTGAAGGCAGTTTCCCACTTGTACTGTGCGGGCCAAAAACCGAGAACATTCCTCAAAAAGAGATGTCAGCTGATACATATCTGAAACCTCATAAATTTCCTGCAACTCATCAGCTCGAAGTTTCACAGTCCCGTGGTAGATATAATCAACCAGGAGCTGGAAGACAGACTCACTGACATCCTGCAACACAATCACCCGGTTGTGGGCCTCCTTCAGGTTAGAAGTGAACATGGACCGGAAGAAGCAGCTCTGAGCCGAGAGGACCAGCCGATGGAGCTGAAACTCCCGGCCTTCCACGGAAATGGTGACATCAGCAAAGAGCTCCTCCTCCAGACACAGTTTCATGATGCCTTGAACCACACGGCCTGAGTGTGACCGATCTTTGAAAGTGTAGTTCACAAAGTAGTTCTCGTCCATGGACGCTCCGGGCTCCTCTGGTGATTCCATTGTAACCGATTTCTCTCTCTGCCAGCTGCCAACTTAGAGAGGGAGAAAGAAAAAGTGAGAGCAAAGTGGGTCTAGACTGTCTTACTCCTGGCCCTGCTAATGATGTCCTTGACGCTCTCCTTAGCCAAAGTTGGGTTCATTCTCCTGCAGTGGTGTCCCTCTTCCAATGAAATTTTTAAAAAGTTCCAACCCTGGGTCTTTTCCTCACAAGGAGTATTTCTTTCTATGATGTAACAAAAGATAGCATTTAGGTCAATACCTAAAAGTAAAGGGCTGGAAGGAGACTATGATTTTAAAAGCCTTACTAACCAAATAACTTGGGCATAAAACTGTGAGGGCCGGGCGCGGTAGCTCAGCCTGTAATCCCAGCACTTTGGGAGGCCGAGGAGAGAGGACTGCCTAAGCCCAGGGGCTCGAGACCAGCCTGGGCAACTTGCTGAGTCCTCGTCTCTACAATAAATCACGAAAACTAGCCGGGCGTGGTGGCGTGCGTCTGTAGTTCAGCTGCTTGGAAGGCTGCGGCGGAAGGAACGCGGCTGGGGTGGCCGTGAGCGTGCCACTGCACTCCCGTCTGGGCGACAAAGAGTGAGACTCCAACTCAAGTAAAACAAAACTAGTGAGGCTCGGGGCAGCACAAGCAGACATAAAAAGACCCCCACATCCCCGTGGTCAGGTCTTCTCTCCCCCCGCGCGTGGAGTCCAGAGCCCCCACACAAGGCTTGGCCTGGGATATCCGTTGGCCCCACCCCGCGTTTGCTCTCGTCTGAGTTTCTTCCCCCCACTTCCCCACTCGCCCGAAAGACTCCCCAAGGCTCCGTCTCAGAACTCCACACGGAGCCCGGCCGTCCCCATTTCGGTACAAGGAGGCCTGTGCAGTGTCCCCGCTCCACCTGGAGTCGCCTGGGAAACCGTTCTTCCCGCTCAGGCCCGGCCGCCCTCGTCAAAAGCTCGGCTCAGAGAGCGGGGATGGGGTGTGGGACGTAGAAGCCAGAACGCTCGCCCCCTCCCCTCCTCTCACCCGTCCGGTTCTCCAGCCTCCTCGCCTTCTCTCCAGGCTCTGCCACACCGAGTTAGGGTTACGTTCACCCCACGGTTTCCCCACCTGCCGGTCTCTTCTCACCTGCGTTCCTTCCTTTCATCCCGGTGCCCGGAAACGGGAACCTCTGCTTCCGGCCCCGTGTCTCCCCGGAAGAAGATCTGCTGCGCGCTTCCGCTTCCGGGCCGTGCCCTTGGGGCGCCGTGTTTTGTGGGCCGTTCGCTTGGAGGCCTTGTCTGGGTCTGGGGAACATGGCGCTGCCGGCCGCCAGAGCCTGTTGGCGCAGGTTCGTGGGGTCCGCGGCGCTGGCCCGGGGTAAGTAGGGGGTAGCCGACTGGAGCCGGGGTCAGGAGCAGCGGTGCTCCCAGCGCAGAGAGCTCATCAGGCCTCAGTTCCGCGCTTCTGTGCCTTTTGCCCCCCGTGCAGGGACTGGGCGACCCTCGATACTCTTGCTGCCCGTGAGGAGGGAGAGCGCCGCGGCCAACGCGCGCCGTGAGTATGTGCGGACAGCGCTCTTCTCTGGACTACCGGCGGGGTCCTTTGATCACTTTCGTCAGGCTGGGCCTTGCCCTAGGGATGCCAGCTCCCCTTCCCGCGTCCTCCTGGCAATCTCTGCTTGTCCTTGGTGACCTGATTGCGGTGGACTTCATTGAGCAGGCAAAATCGAGCCCTCCCCTAGGCCTCTTTCTTATGGCCTTGATTGTCACTTGCCGTTTACCATGACCCCCCTCTTCTCTGAGTAAGCTAGGAGCCCTTTGAGAGCAGGCAACATAAACTTTGGCCTCAGAGCCCTTAATACTAGTATCTCACATTGTTTGCTGTGCACCAGGCACCTTGCTAAGCATTTTTTTTTCTTTCTTTCTTTTTTTTTGAGTCAGTCTCGCTCTGCCGCCTAGGGTGGAGTGCAGGGGCACGCTCACGGCCACTGCAGCCTCGACCTACTGTGCTCAGGTGATCCTTCTGTCTCAGCCTTCCAAGTAGCTGGAACTACAGGCGTGCGCCACCACACACGGTTAATTTTACGGTTTATTGTAGAGATGAGGTCTTGTGTTGCTCAGGCTGGTCTCGAACTCCTGAGCTCAGGCAATCCACTCGCCTTCACCTCCCAAAGTGTTGGGATTACAGGCATGGGCCACTGTGCCCCGCTTCGTTTTTCTTTTTCTTACAAATATCCTTCGCTTGCTAAGCGTTTTAGTGCATTTTTTTTAGTCCTCAGAACAACCTTGTGGGGTAGATAGTGTATATATATATATATTTTTTTTGAGTTGGAGTCTCATTCAGTCGCCCAGACTGGAGTGCAGTGGCCGCTCCC